CACGGGAAGTGGCGTCATTTTCCACAAATCTCGTTTCATTCACAACCATTTGACTGCAATTCAGGGCAATTTCTGCCACAAATTCAACTCCACGAGGACGAGGAAGCTCAGCGGATCTCAACACGAACGTTTGCCCATCACCTACAATGGAATATGGGCTGTATGATACGACCAGCGGCTAACACGGGAAGTGGCGTCATTTTCCACAAATCTCGTTTCATTCACAACCATTTGACTGCAATTCAGTGCAATTTCTGCCACAAATTCAACTCCACGAGGACGAGGAAGCTCAGCGGATCTCAACACGAACGTTCGCCCATCACCTGCAATGGAATATGGGCTGTATGATACGACCAGCGGCTAACACGGGAAGTGGCGTCATTTTCCACAAATCTCATTTCGTTCACCCCAACTCAAATAAAAGTGAAGTACAATTAGGGATTTATCTTGCATTTCCATCGCCTGAGAATAAATTAACTTCGATAAACTGAGAGAGAATGAATGAGGCAGCTGGAAGAATTGAGGATGAAAATAGAGATCAGAAGATTCGACGGAGCACTCGTCTCCGTGCTCTAAGAGAAATCGGAGAATGTCCCAATTAGTATTTCATGAAGACATCACAATTTTCGAAAAATAATTATTTCCTGGCCTCGCAACACCGTTCCCTGGCAGCGTTCCCCGGCAGCGCGAGGCAAAGATGTTTTCTGGGAATGTGTGCCGTGTCCTCTCCCGGGCTTTTACGACTCCCTGCTTTTGACGTAACCCGTCGTTGCATGTTTCAGTTGTCGTGTTAGCTTCTTTCAAATTCTCACTGCTTGTTCCGACTCCGTTTCCGTGCATGCTGAGCGGAGATGTCGGACACAGCTGGTGGACCAGCTGGTGAGACCATGGAGCCTGCTGCTAAGCGTCGTTGTGAGAGCCATCATCAACATTCTCCAGGATGCGGAGTGAGGAACTGAACAGCCGCCCTGAATTCTGACTAGAGTAGACATGGTGTATATAGCATGTACATAGCATAATCTGTGTCTGACTGAGAATCATACCGGTAGCAGTCGTAAATTACTTGTAAATTTTGACATTCAATGTGTAACTAATCATACTACTCATCTTGGTGCTATGTGTAATTATGATATTATATAGTAACACACATAACATACTATGTCTTTGGTTTACTACTGCAAAAGAAAATATGTAAGTTTCATCCTCGCACCCCTCAGCTTTGGGGTCTGGATCCGCCCCTGGCATAATTTGGTGTTTGAAATTAGGAGCATAATTGCATCCTTTTGGAGGTAGGAGCATAACTACATGATTGTGCCATAGTTCTACATTGTAGTATGTAGGCTACACAATGTACAATGCACATGATCAGTGCTGGTGCCTGGTGGTCTGCATGGTAAACGGTTCGGACGTCATGCAGATAGTGTTTTCAATGAAAAGCAGGGTAGAAATGATGGCAATGCATTATTGTATGCTCGAACTCGTCTGCCTCAAAGTTCTTTTCTAACAATAATAAAGTATACGTAGCAAATGATGCGAGTGAATCCTTTCCTTTATCACGCATCCCGGGGGGGGGGGGGGACGAGATAATAGGGAGGTTTAGTTCCCACGTAACGGAAACGCGTACGTGGGTGATCCACGTAAAGTGGATGAAGGGCACCCACGTTGCAATGTTGTGTTTAGTCACACGGAACAAACAAAATCATGAAGCGAAAGGCCCAAACCTGGTCAAAGACGAAGCTACCCGGGCCTAAGAAGCTCATCCAGTATTTTGATTTCGTACTTCGGAAACTTCTTCAGCTGAGCACCCTCACAGCTTGCACAATGCACTCAATTCTGATTTTCACCCACGTTCTAGCGGAACGTGGGTGAGCCTCCATACACGGTATGTCGTGATTCAGAAAACGTCTGTACGTGGGTCACTGAGTATCACGTGGTACACACACGTAAAGTACCCACGGATTACGTGGGACTAAACCTCCCTAATGACGGGTTGGCCGCAAAACTCTGCGTACATGTACATTATGCATGATAAGAAGTCATGACTCATGACCTCTGGATTTTTGCAGCCAAGACTGTGCAGTGTGCAGGCTGTGCATATTGCTCATTAACTTGAAAAAATTGAGGTATTGTTGATTTTTCGATCATGATGGAAGGAGAGGTGGAGCTACGGGAGAGATGAGCTGATCAGTCGCAGAGTGAGGTTGACATTGGTTGCATGAGTATGACGATTACGAAGACAGTTGAACATGATACTTTGCAAAGGTAACTCAAACTAATTATTTGAGTGCAGTCATAACTAACTTACTTGGCCCAGCTGGATCAGTAAGGTTCGGCAACGTGCGCTGCATTTCCTGGCCGGAGTCAACATGAGCCAAAGTGTCTTTACTTCGCCGAAAATACTCATCGAATGCATTCAGCGCCGAATCCCCCCCCCCCCCCCCCCCCCCCATCAAATCGCACAGTCGCGTCATTCGATGACCTCCTCGAGATGGCACGCGACGAAGTGTCTCGCTGTCATGTCAAGTACTAGTGCACCCGCAGCGTAGACTGTAGGTCGTCTACTGCCGTACTGGTATGGTGAGTCGTGCAGATCTGGGCCATCATCTGGCCCGCGGAAAGCGCGTTAATTTTTGTGTTTTGAATCTTTTGATCGCAAAACTTATTTCTTCTGACTGCTGATTGACAAAACAACCTTGCCTACTACATGCAAAGACTAGATGAGAACTGAGGCGAGTTTCAACCAGCTAAAATATTGTTTACTGCAATGTCAATCAAAATAATACGATTCAACCAATGGCCCAGTGCGGAGCCTGGGACTGGACAGTTTTTTTTGCAGACGTTCAACGCCGCAAGCAGTGCCAGTGTGGTCGTTGTGAAGTAAGGCAACAGCAGCTTGTGCATTGCTGGGGACAAAACTGTGACTCCGAACTTTCAAGAGCCACTCTCTCCGTGTCATTTCTCAACCCGCTGCTCCTCCGGGGTCTCTGACGGCAGCGCATCTACTTGTAGGCGTACGTGAGCGCACTGTAGCAATGTAGCCGGCTGCAGGACTGAACAACGTATTACCTGCGTGTGGTGCTGATCTCAGCGAGCGAGCGAGGACCTCTCCATCAGGTACCAATTATTGGCCTACAATAGTGGCTAGTAGCTAATACCACGCGGGCTACAATCAGCTTGTGCCACACACACACACACACGCACACACACACACACACACACACACACACACACACACACACACACACACACACACACACACACACACACACACACACACACACACACACACACACACACACACACAGAGAGTATGGCAACGATGTCCTGGGAGCAAAGGCTGCAGCAATTCGTCGAAGCTAAGGGTACGGTGAAGCAATTCAGCTACTTGTGGGTTTTTTTTACGTTTTGTTTGTTTTAATTATTTTGTTTCCATGCACATACAGTCTTGGACAAAGAAATCCAAAAAACTAGTGCCAATCCGCGAGCCAAAACTAGTGCCAACCCGCGAGCCAAAACTAGTGCCACGTCTCCATTTCATTAACCAGTACATCATGCACGTTCCCAAAACTGGTCCGAGGGCCGCATGAGCCGTATGAGCCTTGGCGCTACTTTCAAGGGTTGGATTTCTTTGGCGACGACTAGTTTGCACAACAGAACGGACTGAAATTGGCAACATGCGGCACAGTTAGCCATGCAGCGAGTGATCTTGGTGATCCGGCAATGCATTGGCGAGTGGTGTGGACGACTCCCGTCACTTGCCGAATACCCACCTGGCTGTCACCCAACAGTCTTGTCGGTCATGCTCGTGATTCGTCGTTACTATGACCGGATACTTCTGCAGTGTTGTTCTGTCTGCACCCAGCTGGATAAGGTTCGGCAACGTGCGCTGCATTTCCTGGGAGTCGACATGAGTCAAAGTGTCTTTACTTCGCCGAAAATATTCATCGAATGCATTCAATGATTCACCCCGCCACCCCGCCATTCCTTTCGTTGTACACGCTCCCGATGCCTGATTGCGAGGCTAGCGCCGAGACCTCTGGTTGGTCGAGTGGCTCTCAGTGCGTCGGTCACGTATTTCCTACAACCTCTGTGTCTTGTTTTGTGTTGTTCTTGGCCACATGTTTCCCAGCAGGGCTGTGTTCACAGTGAAAAAGAAAATGAGAAAGACTCTAGTTTCAAAACGCAATCAATAGTACAAGCTGGATCGACATACTGTAAATATACAAAATTTCGGCGCTGCAAAATTTCGGCACTTCACGATTTTTGACATTTCGGCGGCGATTTATTTTCGGCTTGGGGTAGAGGGCATGGTACATGGTATAGTGCGACAGATGCTGTGAAAAATTTCATCGGCGTTTTAATTTAGGCGTTTTGGGTGGGTGCCGAATATAGGCGAAATTTAATAGCTGCCGAAAATTTGAATATCTACAGTACCAGGCTTTTTGACTGTCTACATATTTCTTCTAGCAGAATTTTTGTTACTAATTTTTGTAAATTAGGCTAGGGTGGAGAGCCAAGGATTCATTTATAAGAAGAAAAGAGGGCCAAAGAGCTACAAGTTACGCTATAATATCCACTAACACCACTGCAGTTACATTACAAGATGGGCTAGAGCTGAGATGTGCTAGAGCTGATTGCCAGTTAGGTGTAGAACGTCAGTACCGTCGGTCAGTGTCGTGCAATGTTATCGCATGAACTTATTGTAAAGTAACTGCAGTGCTGTTACTGCATAATTATAACGTAACTTGTAGCTCTTTGCTCCTCTTTTTCTTCTTATAATTGACTAAAGAGTATTTAGTATTGTATGGGTGTATGCAGCAGCTTGTCCAGTTGATTGCACTATTAAAACTACAGGGAAACAGCTGTCTAAGACGACCGCTCCAGGGACCTTCAAAATGTGCTCTCTGTTACCAGGTGCTCCCCTTATCCAGGGTCATTTGACTGGAAATAGCATCCCTTGATCCTGGTTTCAGTGGTCTTCTAGGACAGGTGGTCTTCTGGGACAGGTGGTCTTCTAGGACAGGTGGTCACCTTGACAGGTTTTAGTGTATTGTCTCCTCGTCGCTTGTTCAAAAAAAAAGACTCTGCGTTCGCTTTTGTTCTGATCCAGGTAGCAGTACCAGTGCTGGTGCTGGTGCTGGTGATGGTGCCGGGCCATCGGGCGCAGTGTCGGCCGCATCGGAGGCGGACGTGGAGCAGATGACGGCGCAGTGCATTGCCGACTGGCATACGCCGACTGCTGCCGCCGCTGCAGCATCCACTTATCAGCACATACCTCGATTCTACAGAAAGGTACAGTGTGAAACTCTGCAGATTCTTTTGCATTTCTTTTCATGTTTTCTTTTTGAAACTCGGATGTTGAGCAAATAATAAATAATTCTTTGTTGCCATCTTCCATAGGTCCGTCAAATAGTAGTAATAGGTTTTTCATTTGACCCGACGAGACCATGCGACGCTTGCAGACAACAGCACGAACAGTTCACCAGCCACACTCCACGAAAGCAAGTAGTATTACTCCTGACAAAACTTGTTTCGTTCCATAAAGATGACGGGGAACTCATCAGAGGAGAAGCAGTTGTTGAATGATGGAGTTAAGCTGAATAATGCAGTGGCGGGTTTAGGGGGGGGGGGGGGGGTGGGCGGGGGGGGCGCCCCCCCCCCCCCTCAAAAATTTCGACCTAGGTTTCGAAAAATAAAAGGCAGCTGCGCAGGGCACCGGGCCGGTCTAGCTAGACTAGGCTCGGGGCGCGCGCGACCTGAAACGATTGTCCAAAAGCGGTTGCACGGTACGGTGCTCGAGCTGGTGTTGATTGTACTGTACACTACAGACTACAGACTAGTATAGTACTGTACACTACAGACTACAGACTAGTATAGTACTGTACACTACAGACTACAGACTAGTATACTGTACTGTACACTACAGACTACAGACTAGTATAGTACTGTACACTACAGACTACACACTAGTATAGTACTGTACACTACAGACTACAGACTAGTATAGTACTGTACACTACAGACTACAGACTAGTATAGTACTGTACAGTGTACAGAGTAGAGTCTACGTACAGTGAGCATGCACGGCTACAGAAACACGGTGACCATGGTTACCTAACTGTGTACTGTTGAGTGTTGTAGAGTGTGATCCCTGCTGGGACGCGCTCGACGCGTCTTCAACGGTACAAACATCGAAGAAAAGTCTTCGATCGAGTCAACCAAAACACGATTCGAATGCCAAGGGCTCAGGCGATCATCCTCGTTCGAATCGTGTTTTGATTGACTCGAAGGCTTTTCTTCGATGTCTCAGGGACATCCCAAAAGGCCAAGCTCTAGCCAGCAGAGCCTGGAATTTTTGTAAAGCGTTCCTGTCGCGGCGCAACTCCTGCTGCCGCTCCAACAGGAAACAGTGGGAGTGATGAAGTCGCTGTTATTCCAGTTGAACTTTCGGAGCGGACTGACAGTCACACTCCGCCAGACGTGGAAGAACCTGTTGTCAGCGAGCAGCCAGAACATGAAGAACAGCGCACAGTCAACAGCGCACGGAAGGGACCAGGGACACGTATCACTCTAAAATCAGAGGGGAGAGCGTTCCAGAGAATGCTTCCCCGAAACATCATGGTCGATCGTCCCGCAGGCCCACGAAGAAAGGGAACTTGAAGCAAGTTTGACCCCTTGTCCCCGTGTGGTGCGCTGATCCTCCGGAACAGTCTCTGGGGCCGTTCGGGTGAATAACTGTTGAAGAAGGGGGCTACAGGAGGAGCTTCTTGACATCGGTTTTCAAAATGGCTGACCTGGGACAGTAGCATGATGTCATGTACCCCCACCCCATCCCGCCTTGATCCCGGCCGCAACCCCCCCGCCCCCCTCAGCCAAATCCTGGACACGCCACTGTAATGTTATTTTATAGAGAAGATGCCAACGCAAGGTGTAAGCACTCAACTATCTCACATATGTGACAAATCAACACAAAGAGGAATAGTGCAGAATGGAGGTGTTATGAACCCTACCATACTTAACTATCACAAGTGCTAAATCGATCACAATGCGAAGGAGAGGTACACAGGCATAGGTTGCGCTAGTTTACACGTCACAAAGAGTACTGAGGTGGTGACAAAGATAGGTGAAAAGTAGACGCCAAGTGAAGGCCAACAAATCATCACGGACGTCTAACGTCACATCTGAAGATTGCTGACTGCACAAGACAAATACTTCACGAACCTCGATGATTGAAATTCAGCTTCAGCCAACGGTAGGTGAAAGGAAGGCTGCTGGGTGTGACATAGAACTGTGGGCTGCTGAGGCGACGTATCCATCTAGATCTTGACTGCAGGGTTGGCGTCTAACGCTATAATCCAAGCAGCAGATCACATCCTTCCTCTGACAATGGCAGGTTTCCTGGTCCAGGATAAGTCATAATTCTTTGTTGCCATCTTCCGTAGAACTGTGGGCGGCTGAGGCGACGTATCCATCTAGATCTTGGCTGCAAGGTTGGCGTCTAACGCTATAATCCAAGCAGCAGATCACATCCTTCCTCTGACAATGGCAGGTTTCCTGGTCCAGGATAAGTCATAATTCTTTGTTGCCATCTTCCGTAGAACTGTGGGCGGCTGAGGCGACGTATCCATCTAGATCTTGGCTGCAAGGTTGGCGTCTAACGCTATAATCCGAGCAGCAGATCACATCCTTCTTCTGAAAATGGCAGGTTTCCTGGTCCAGGAGAAGTCATAATTCTTTGTTGCCATCTTCCATAGAACTGTGGGCTGCTGAGGCGACGTATCCATCTAGATCTTGACGGCAGGGTTGGCGTCTAACGCTATAATCCGAGCAGCAGATCACATCCTTCCTCTGACAATGGCAGGTTTCCTGGTCCAAGAGAAGTCATAATTCTTTGTTGCCATCTTCCATAGAACTGTGGGCTGCTGAGGCGACATATCCATCTAGATCTTGACTGCAGGGTTGGCGTCTAACGCTATAATCCGAGCAGCAGATCACATCCTTCCGTTGAGTGTTTACACCTTGCGCTGGTATCTTCTCTATAAAATAACATTATTCAGCTTAACTCCATCATTCAACAACTGCTTCTCCTCTGATGAGTTCCCCGGCATCTTTATGGAACGAAACAAGACTTGTCAGGAGTAATACTACTTGCTTTCGTGGAGTGTGGCTGGTGAACTGTTCGTGCTGTTGTCTGCAAGCGTCGCATGGTCTCGTCGGGTCAAATGAAAAACCTATTACAAATAATAAATAGTCAACTATGCGTATAACGACACTCGGCGGGGCATATTTTACTCCCAGAAAGGTGGCAGGCCTGACAATTTGTTCTATGCCTGCGTGGCCACACGTACACTGTAGAAGCAGACATTTTCGGTGGTGTAATTTTTTTGGTATTCTCCAAAATTGGCGTTTCGGCGGAGGGAAATTTTAGGTTAACCCGTTTTCCAGGTAAGTGTACTAATACCGACATTTTCGGTTGCGTTTTATTTTAGGTAAAAATTGTCCGCACCGAAGTTACCGAAATAAAACACCACCGAAAATTTCTGCTCGTATGTGTTTCCTCTACACTGTTCAGTGTCCGGATGAGAACGATGCAGTCCGTATGAGAGTGAGAGAGGAAGCACGGTAAGCATGCTATAATTGTTATGATGATGTCATGCTTTGCTCGTCTCGTGAGAAAATGTGATACAATGTGCACTCTGATGTAAAATTTGTACTCTGTTTTGCATTTCTGTACGCTAGTGTTCAACCACGCATGCTCGGTTTTGGGTGCGTGCGCGCCTGCGTGTGTGTGTGTATGTGTGTGTGTGTATGTGTGGTCATTGGACGTGTGTGTGTGTGTGCATGTGTGTGTGTGTATGTGTTGTGTGTTTGTGTGTGTTTGTGTTGTGTGTTTGTGTGCGCGCGTGTGTGTGTGTTTGTGCACGCTCTTGTTTTTTCTGGTTGTTTTCAGAGCACGTCATGTGCAGCGCCTCAGCAAGGAGATGTTGACGAACAGCGACCTTGATGTGAGTGTATACTTTCAAAGCAGAACTTTTCGGTGGTGTTTGATTTTCGGTAACTTCGGTGCCAACAATTTTTACCGATAATAAAAAGCACCGAAAATTTCGGTACAACCAATACTGTATACATGTAGTACTAGTACACTTACCTGGAAAACGGGTTTTACCGAAAATTTCCCTCCACCGAACCGCCGAATTTGGAGAATACCGGAAATATTACTTGGTCCGCGTCAGCAGTATTGTCGCTTATCTTTCGACAATTTGAACTTAGACTTTGGACATGAACGCGTGCACCTGAAGTGATAAAACTTGGTACGATGGACGGTAAGGTATAGAATGACAAATAGCTGCGAAGAATTTATTGTCCAAGGAAGGGTTCATAATTTTTTCGGTCCTCCTCGTCGCTGCTCTCGGCGCTGGCGACAAATATTTTTGCTCGGGATCGACTCTCTAGCTTTTGCAAGCTCATCTCTCTTCCTCTCCGCTGCCTGGCTATTTTCTAAAGAGAAGTCGATCGTGACGGTCGCCTTCTCTATAGGACTTCGCCTGGGCAGCACGACAGCCTGTGTGGTTCAAATCAGACGCCGTTCTTTGCAAGATTTTATTTTGAACGACGACGACGCCTACAGTACATGTACTTGCAAATCTCCACGACGCGCTGGATACTCCGAGCGAGGAGCTGGAGGTAAGGGAGCTGCGATCTCAGCTTGATGAGCGATCCCTGAGGTGAGCGATCTCAGCCGTTCAGCAAAATGGAGCTGATTCCGAGTAGCCGATTACTTTCTTGTGGCTTGCGCTTCTCTTGCCTGCACTGCGTAACCAGATAATCTATTTTGATGCGGCGCTGTATCAATCAGAATCACCCACCTGTCGCTCTCGAAATCCACTCGAACTCTAGCTAGACCTTTCAGGTACTAGCAAACTAACTTGCTAACCAAAATTGGGATGAAATGGGCTGCCAAGTAAGCATTGGCGACATATAAACAAAGCTGAATGATAAGCGACAATATCGCTGACGCGGACCAAGTATGATACGTTACTATTTATTCGTGAAGACTTGGGAACAGAAACAAAACATGTCATGAGAAAGAACAACAGGAAAAAGAAGCACACTCAACTAATCCGTGTGTGTGCGTGCATGCAGTACAACTATGACGTAATGAATATAGATACACATCACGCCCCTTCGAGATGTTGCGAAACCTGTGACAGCAACATCTATCATAAATAAAACAAAATGAAGAATGAAAACAACAAAGCAGAGACAGCAGAAATTGACATTAGTGATCAAGAGTGTCAATCATAGGACTGTCCATGATGCGAACCAATGTTTAAACGCTGGGGTGGCTTGCGCTGACGTGCGCTGCGGCGGGACGGCGGCGGCGGGGAAGAGGAGTCAGCAGCAGCCGGTTGGACAACAAGCGGTGCAGGCACAAGTGGGCGATACGGACGCAGGAATCTGCGGTTCCGCCAATAAATGCGACCACTCGGCAACTTCACTAGGTAGTCCCGATGATTACCGACAGCAACAATGACCCCACGAATAGACCACTGCTTGGTGCGCGGATGCTGAACATCCACGTGGGTGCCGAGGCGGAGCTGCGGCAACGAGCGACGAGTTGACGACTTGTCTGTGACGGCATCGTCGGATGGCATGGCAGTCTCATCACGTGTCGTCGCTTTGGAGAGCCAGGATGAATCAAACTCCTTCCAATGTGCAATGACGAATGACTGGAGAGAGCGGCCATATAGGAGCTCAGCGGGGCTCTGACCAGAGGAGCCAGGTGTGTTTCGCCATTCCAGTAGCCCTCGGCGGAAGTCATCTGTGTCAAGATTGCCATTCCCGGTTGTCTTGGTGATAAGACGCTTCATGGCTTTGACAGCAGCTTCGGCGTGCCCATTACTCTGCGGGTAGTGGGGAGAGGACATGACATGGTTTACCTGCCAGCGCTTACAAAACTCAGCAAACTTATGCGAGGAGAACTGGGGACCACCATCTGTACACAGCACAGCAGGAACACCAACATCAGAGAACCAGCGACGGAATGCTAGTATCACGTCATGCGATGAGGTGGTGCGGCCAGTACGCGCGACACAGGGCCAACCGGTCAAACGATCTGCATACACAAGGAAGTCGTGACCTTGACAAGTGAACAAATCGGCAGATGCACATTCAAACGGTAGTGTCGGGGTGCGGTCGTTCAGCAGGGGCTCAGCTGGCTGGGACGACTGGTGTTCGCGGCAAGCAGGACAAGAACGAACGAGTGTATCAATGTCCTTGGTGATACCGGACCAGTATACAAGCTGACGCGCACGAGACTTAGTACGCACTAGGCCTTGGTGTGAAGCGTGGAGGTTGTGCAATACCTGAGCACGCAATGATTCAGGAACAACAATGCGGTTGCCCTTCAACACAATGCCATGGTCGACGGAGAGATGCTCACGTCCATTCCAGTACGCACGTAACGGAGCAGGCAACTTCTGCTGGCGATCAGGGAATCCAGTCAAGATACACTCAATCAATGACTGGTACGTGGCATCTGCAGCTGCAGCTTCCCGCAGCTCTGCAACCTTGAGATTCGCGTTCGGCTCAGTTTCCGAGTGCACCATGCAGATCTGAATGCTGCGGCAATGAAGCGACGGGGCTTCACCAAGCTCATCAGTGGTGGAAGGAATGCCAACAGGATTCCGGGACAGCGCATCGGCGAAGGCATTTTCAGAACCTTTTCGCCAAGATGCCTGCAGCTGATAGGCTTGGAGCTTGAGGCGTAATCGTAGAAGACGCGGGTTCTCGATCTGATCCAACGAATATGAGTTGATGATCGGAATCAGGGGCTTGTGGTCGGTGACGACTTCAAATGGCGCACCAGACAGGTAGATGCGGCATTTGCGCACGGCCCATACTACAGCGAGCATTTCCAACTCGATGACAGCATAACGTGTTTCAGCATCAGACAGGTAGCGGGATCCACACTGAATAATACGCCACTGATCATTCTGCTTTTGCCAAAGCACGAATCCGAGACCTCTTAGAGCGGATGCATCGGTTTCAAGCCGGAGGTCTTGACCAACTTGATAGAAAGCGAGAACCGGAGGAGACAAGAGAGCTTCCTGTGTCCGTTCAAACGCTGCAATGTGGCTAGCGTCCCACATGAACTCACGGGAGGTCTTGAGCAGGCCACGCAGAGGATTGGTCAACTCGGCTAGATGTGGAGTGAACTCGCCACATTGGTTCACTAGACCGAGGAACGAACGGAGATCGGTTCTGTTGGCGGGTACTGGAAACTGGCGAATACCGGACGTCTTATCATCGTCGACGACCCAGCCATCAGGCGTGACATTGTAGCCGCAGAAATGGACACGTTGCGTACCGAACACAAACTTGGCGGGGCTGAACGTGATACCATGCTCCCTGGCGCAGAGCAGAATCTCGCGCACGTGGCTGACATGCGACAGAAAGTCGTCGTCGTACGCTAGGCAATCATCGACTACCTTGCCGAGACGCGGGATGGCAGAGAACGCAGCATCAGTGCGCCGGTTGAACTCATCCCCAGCAGATATTAGACCCTGCGGGTTCCGTAGATAACGATATCTGCCGTACGGGGTGATAAACGTGGTGAATTCCTGAGCAGTGTCACTGAGAGGAATCTGCCAGTAGCCGTGCCTTGCATCGAGCTTCGTAAAGAACTTAGCAGAGCCAACTCCAGAGACAACGTCACGTGCCGTATGTACGGGATGCGCGGGACGACGGACTTGGTCATTCAGCCGCTTGAAGTCAACTGTGAGGCGCTTCTCAGTGCTGCCCTTCTTGTCTACTATGACAATCGGATGGCACCATTCACTGGGCTCCGTCACTGGTTCAATAATCCCGTCGCTGACCATGCCGTCGAGCTGCGTCTTGATCTGGTCACGGAACGCATACGGTATTGGTCGAGCAGTGTACACACAGGAAGGCTTAGAATCATGCTGTAGCTCAATTTCCATTGGCGGACCTTCCATTGGCTTCAGACCGGAATCCGAGAAAACGTCAGCGAACTCTTGCAGGAGCTGCTCACGTGTCCGCGCTAACTCAGCATCACTAGGATGAGCGCATGACGAAACAGCTGCACAGATCTTGGGTGAAGATGCACCCTCGTGTTCAGCGGTGAATTGGACTGGCCAATCAGGTGGGAGAAACTTCAGCGCACGCAATGAGGTATGAGAGAGCAGGGCATCGTGTAGACCCTTGTACACATGGATGACGGTTTCATGCTGCGTCTCACCGACTCGTAGAGTCGCACGTATTTTGCCCAGGTTGCGTAGCGGCTCACCGGTCACAGCCTGCACACAGTCGTGGTCGTCATCTAAGTTCTCGACGAACCCACCGATCTGCGTGAGGTGCTCCTCGCCAATGGCATCAACGTCACTGCCTGTGTCTGGTGTCCAGGACAGTTGGGATGGATGATCCTCTGTTTGCAGCATGGTCGAAACAGGTACTGTGCGACGGTCCACGCGAGACGCACGCTGTAGCTTCAGCTGTCCAAGCTTGGCAGCAGAGCTAGTCTTCGGCTGTTTCTGGCCCTTGCACATTCGCTGAAAATGCCCAACGCCGTGACAGGAGTTGCACTTCTTGCCCTTGGCAGGACATACAGATTTCGTGTGGTCAGAACGACCACAATTTGGACAAGTGGACTTGGCCACACTTGATGTCTCACTTGGCTTAGAGTCAGCTGGCTTGTGACGTTTCTGCTGCTTGTACGCCGACTGCTTGGCAGCACTTGCCTGGAGGCCAGGACTGGGCATGTGTGCCTTGGTGTGGTATGCTGCTTCCTCCGTCCGACAGAGGGTGACAGCCTGGTCAAGCGTGAGACCATGAGTTGCGAGCAACTTGTGTCGCGTCTCATCGTTCCGCACACCAATGACGACGCGGTCGCGCAGAGATTCCTCCTTGAGGGTACGGCCGAGGCCTTTGCACTGCGCACAGCAGCGAGCATCACACGTTCCACATAGGCTGTGTGACAAGAAGTCGCATGCACTTTGTAGTTCACACAGGGCTGTGTAAAACGCATCAAATGATTCTCCAGCTTGCTGGACACGCTGGTAAAACTCTATGCGGTCCAACAGTGGGTTACGTTGCCGTCTGATATACGCCTGAATGCGCTCCAGCATCAGGTCAACGTCAGCTGAAGCTGGTATGCAAATAATATCCTCTCGGATAAAACGTCGCAGCTCCTCATCGAAACACTGACGGAGTGTTGCCACTCTGGCCTCACGAGCCTGGCTGGCCAAATGCTGGCAAACACTAAAATCTCTCCAGCTTTCAACGAAGGAGTGAAAATCAGCCAGCGTCGCAGACGACAATAAGTGTGGGCAGGAAACACTGTTCACTGGCCGTGGTGCTGAGGTCTGCGAGGTGGACTGAGCTGGTGCTGAGGGCTGCGGAGTGAACTGAGGCTGCGATGGTGATAGCGACCTGCTCTGAACATTCTTGAACAGATCTTGCATCGCCTTATCACGAGCCTCAGCTGCACGCATCTGCTGCTCCATAAATTTCATCAGGACACCCATTTGAGATTCCTGCTGTCGCTCGGTCGCGGAGGACAGGTCAAATCCGGTATCGTCCTGTGATTGTTCCATTACGATTAGTCACTCGTCCACGAGTACGAACAAATACACTACTAAAATAATTCAACTGAGACAGAGTTTCGATCGCGGAAACTACTACTTCATACGGAAAAACCAACTGGGCCCGTGCAAACACTACAAGGTGCGGACACAAGGCACGGACACAGGAAAGAACAAGTTCACTGCGCCATGATACGTTACTATTTATTCGTGAAGACTTGGGAACAGAAACAAAACATGTCATGAGAAAGAACAACAGGAAAAAGAAGCACACTCAACTAATCCGTGTGTGTGCGTGCATGCAGTACAACTATGACGTAATGAATATAGATACACATCAAAGTACACCACCGAAAATGTCTGCTTAACAGTATACTGTATAGTGTATAGTGCTGCATTGAGTCACCGAGTCACTCAGTCACTCAGTCACTCTGAGTCACTCAGTCACTGAGTCACCGAGTCACTCAGTCACTCAGTCACCGAGTCACCGAGTCGCTGAGTCACCGAGTCACTCAGTCACTGAGTCACCGAGTCACTGAGTCACCGAGTCACTGAGTCACTGAGTATGGCTGCTTTCCCCACTTGTTGAGTTGGATTTGGGCCATTCACGTGCATTCAAAATCTTGCGGGTGTGTTGACACCCACTCTGTGTGTGTGTGTGGGTGCGTGAACATGCCTACGCATGTGTGAAGTACTTACTGGCGACTGACACATTTTCCACACTCACTTATTCCTATTATCGCTGCCATTGCTGCCGCCTCCAGTGCTGCTGCTGGTATTGTTGTTGTTGTTGTTGTTGTTGTTGTTGTTGTTGTTGTTGTTGTTGTTGTTGTTGTTGTTGTTGTTGTTGTTGTTGTTGTTTTTGAATTCTTTATTCTCACGATGGTACCATCGCCAATGAGACATCGTTGTTGTTGTTGTTGTTGTTGTTGTTGTTGTTGTTGTTGTTGTTGTTGTTGTCGTTGTCGTCGCCGCCGCTGCCGTCGTCGTCGTCATCGTTGTTGCCTTTGCCGATTTCGTCAATGTTATACTTCGTGCTAAACAATTGAGAGTCCTCAGGCTAGGTAGAGTGCTCAATATTCATTTGAATAGAGCTATCTCTTACACACGACACAGAGCACCACACATCTGATCATTCGCGGTAGCTAGTAGTTTCATGCCCGTAGGCGATCATCAGACAACTAAACCTTCGTGTCATGGTGTTCAGGGGCGTCGCACACGGTACGGTCACTACGGTATTGACCGTACCACTCTTTGCCCCGAGTACCCCATGAATCAATAAAATGCACTTATTTGAGCTCTGAATTTCCAAATTTTTGGCTCAGCCACCCCTCTCTCGCGCGTAAATAGTACTTCAGATGGCTGACCGTATCACACTAAAATACCTTCCAACGCCCCTGGTGTTTGTTGTCCGTTACCCAGGTTGTCTGGGCTCTTCTACAGAGGCAATACTCCAGTCAGGAGAATGAAGAGAAGGTGAGTTGTTGTTGTTCTGTTGATCCGCCGCTGTGGTGGTCAGTGTGTGAACTGCACGTGGGGCGTGGGTCAGTGAAGCTTGCTCTGTTGTCAAATAACCAAGAGTTCATAGCCAAAAGTGTTCAGCTCGACCAGCTCTCACCTAGTGGTGAAACGGTCACACGTGTGTCCGTTTATTTCTCTCTCTCTCTCTCTCTTTCTCTCTCTCTCTCCAATTCTCTCCGACTCTCTCTCTCTCCCCAATGCAGATGATCAATTTTGACGACTTTGTGCGCGTAGGCCAAGAGGCCGGCGAAAAGTTCAGGTAAGGCTGTAGCTGGGCCTTCCGGTCGGTCACCTTTGCACCCTCCCCCTTCACCGTCATTGCCGCTGTCGTCGTCGTGGTTTGAAATCTTTATTCTCACGATGACCAGTGGCCAATAAGAGGTGTTGTTTGATTTCTTTATTCTCACTTGTTGTTGGCGGTGGTGGTGGTGATGCTGCTGTTATTGTTGCTGCTGCTGGTGCTGCCGCCGTTGCTGCTGTTGCCATTGTCGTTGATGTCAACTTTTTTGTTGTTGCTAACGTAATTCTCATCGTCATTCTCATTTTTTTCTCATGGTTGTTGTCATGGTTCATGCAGCTCTTACTTCACTCCCATGGTGTATGCAAAGCTCTACCAGCAAGACCCCCGTGGCCGGTAAGCTGTTCTGGAGTACAGCCATGCAGCCATGCAGCTGTACAGCTTAGCTAAAGCTAGCTACGCATACAAGTTTTATTTTCGGTACACGTACAAGTGGACTTTGGCCACTGGCCCTGGATTCTGCATTCACAGCACGTACCGTGAACTGCGATGCCTAGGCCATTAGGCACAAGCATTCACATACTGAGTGAGGGTCGAAAGCTTTTAGGGTGGGGTTTGGGGGTGGGGGGGGGGGGGGCATGCTCCCTGTCGCCCTCACGGACTAAGTGCCTGGCACTTCTGCACTTTAAACCTTTTGAGAAGTGGGTTGGGTGGAGGGGGGGGGGGAGGGGGAGGGGGCACATGCTCCCTGTCGCCCTTACGGACTACCAAGCGCCTGGCACTTCTGCACTTTCAACCTTTTGAGAAGTTTTGACACTGTGGAGCTTACCGTACGTGCAGCCTTCGACTCCTGATGTAACAAACACCATTGTGCAGGAGAATTAGTTCTTTATAGCCGAAGTTTGTTATAACAGAAATGCACTCACACTATACAAGCAGCAGGTCATGACTGGCAAGTGGCCCACGACAGAATGAATGCACCTGGTTTACATACGGCCCTACGAGATTTGGTTTGTTATAACCGAAACTGTTCGCTATAAAGGGTCAGCTTTGTGCGGGTTCAAACAGGGACATGGACACTGGTTCGCTATATCACGTAATTCGCTATATGTATGTGCGAGTCTGTTATAAGTGGAGTCGACTGTATATCTTTAAAAAAAGACGGGCTCCCTCTTCAGGCCAGCAATGGATCAGCCACTGATGTGCCTATCTGTCTCTCCGTCTTTCTTCATTTCTGTGTGTCTGTGTGTGTGTCTGTGTGTGTGTCTGTGTGTCTGTCTGTCTGTCTGTCTGTGTGTCTGTCTCTCTGTGTATCAATGTCTTTCTTGCACCTCCTCGTCTCTCTTTCTCCCAGGTTACCCATCAGTCGCCTGTATGCCTACATAATGAGAAAAGGTAGGGAGGTTTGAGTTTCATGTTATTAAAAACTCGGGTGTTGAGCCAATAGTACTATGTAAAGAGAAAAGGACCTATTTGACTGTATATTATCATATCGTTACCTTGGTGGACTGTCAGTCATAACTAGTAGCTTATAGGTCCTTTTCTATTTCATGTTATTAGTTTGAGAGCACTGTGACGCAAGCGTTCGTGAACGTTGGAAAAGTTGGACAAGTTTTGAACTCCTTTCAATGCAGATTTGTGCGCGCATAAACAATATCCTGAATGAATATAGCCTAAACTAGTAAACTTGCATGTTGTTTTGTGATGTTCTGTATTGATGTTGCATGGTGTCTATTGAAGGACAGTGTTTGTACGTATGAAGATATGTGTCGGCACGCACTGACCTAGGCCACACTCACCTACAGTGTTGAACGGCTGAACAGGATACTCTGTGTGTGTGTGTGTGTACGTGTGTGCACATCTCTCCATCTCTGCATTACAGTCTGGCTGCAGCAGACGCGCATAGGCCTGAGTCTGTACGACTCGCACGGCACCGGGGTTCTCCTTGAAGTCGTAAGTTTACAACTACACATGATCATTGTGTACCCCAGGCACACATTGGGGACTCTGCCCATGTGCTGTAAGCTCACTCGGATCATCATCACCACGTGTGACCACCATGACTTGGTGTGGCTCTGCTGGTGCTGCTGTTCCCGCTGCTGGTGAATCAGGTATAGAACAGTGCATGCTCCAGTGGTTCTCGGTTCTAGTCTTCGTGTACTGAGTGAGTGTATGCAAGCCCGGCGGCAGCCGGCAGCAGGGCATGTGCCGTGCACTGATTTGTAGGCTAGTACCGGTGCTAGCAGTGGCAGTGCATGCGACCCATGCACCACCGTACAGCTACCGGTAGCTAGCATGGCATTGGACGGATTTAGTTGGCGACGGCTGTAGTGCTGTAAGTGCTGTAAGTGCGCCCGATTCTCGGGGTCACGACACATGCACTACAGTCAACTTGGCTAATAACAACAACTGCGGATATAACGACAATTCGCGAATAACGACAGAATTTCCATGCCCAGAGCAAAGTCCCATCCAACTGCAATACATATAATGAGACTTCGGGTATAAGGACACTTGGCCAATAAGGACACTTTTCTGACGCCCCGCCGCCGAGTGTCCTTATTGGCCAAGTTTACTGTAGTACTAGTACCGTCAAGTACCGCCAGAGCGCCCCGTCTCGCGAGAGCGCCCCGTCTCGCGAGAGCGCCCCGTCTTGCGAGAGCGCCCCGTCTCGCGAGAGCGACCCGTCTCGCGAGAGCGCCCCGTCTCGCGAGAGCGCCCCGTCTTGCGAGAGCGCCCCGTCTCGCGAGAGCGACCCGTCTCGCGAGAGCGCCCCGTCTCGCGAGAGCGCCCCGTCTCGCGAGAGCGCCCCGTCTCGCGAGAGCGCCCCGTCTCGGGAGAGCGACCCGTCTCGCGAGAGCGCCCCGTCTCGCGAGAGCGACCCGTCTCGCGAGAGCGACCCGTCTCGCGAGAGCGCCCCGTCTCGCGAGAGCGCCCCGTCTCGCGAGAGCGCCCCGTCTCGCGAGAGCGCTCCGTCTCGCGAGAGCGCCCCGTCTCGCGAGAGCGCCCCGTCTTGCGAGAGCGCCCCGTCTCGCGAGAGCGACCCGTCTCGCGAGAGCGCCCCGTCTCGCGAGAGCGCCCCGTCTTGCGAGAGCGCCCCGTCTCGCGAGAGCGACCCGTCTCGCGAGAGCGCCCCGTCTCGCGAGAGCGCCCCGTCTCGCGAGAGCGCCCCGTCTCGCGAGAGCGCCCCGTCTCGGGAGAGCGACCCGTCTCGCGAGAGCGCCCCGTCTCGCGAGAGCGACCCGTCTCGCGAGAGCGACCCGTCTCGCGAGAGCGCCCCGTCTCGCGAGAGCGCCCCGTCTCGCGAGAGCGCCCCGTCTCGCGAGAGCGCCCCGTCTCGCGAGAGCGACCCGTCTCGCGAGAGCGCCCCGTCTCGCGAGAGCGACCCGTCTCGCGAGAGCGACCCGTCTCGCGAGAGCGCCCCGTCTCGCGAGAGCGCCCCGTCTCGCGAGAGCGCCCCGTCTCGCGAGAGCGACCCGTCTCGCGAGAGCGCCCCGTCTCGCGAGAGCGACCCGTCTCGCAAGAGCGCCCCGTCTCGCGAGAGCGCCCCGTCTCGCGAGAGCGCCCCGTCTCGCTAGAGCGCCCCGTCTCGCGAGAGCGCCCCACCTTGATTTTACAGGCAAGGGAAGAAAACCGTATGGCAGAATGCTGCTAAGTGTGTACGTTGTGAGAACCTTAGTGTACCAAGGTCACACTTGTACCAAGGTAACACTTGTACCAAGGTAACACTTGTACCAAGGTAACACTTGTACCAAGGTAACACTTGTACCAAGGTAACACTTGTACCAAGGTAACACTTGTACCAAGGTCACACTTGTACCAAGGTCACACTTGTACCAAGGTAACACTTGTATCAAGGTCACACTTGTACCAAGGTAACACTTGTACCAAGGTAACACTTGTACCAAGGTAACACTTGTATCAAGGTCACACTTGTATCAAGGTAACACTTGTACCAAGGTAACACTTGTACCAAGGTAACACTTGTACCAAAGTCACACTTGTACCAAGGTAACACTTGTACCAAGGTCACACTTGTACCAAGGTAACACTTGTACCAAGGTAACACTTGTACCAAGGTAACACTTGTACCAAGGTAACACTTGTACCAAGGTCACACTTGTACCAAGGTAACACTTGTACCAAGGTAACACTTGTATCAAGGTCACACTTGTACCAAGGTAACACTTGTACCAAGGTAACACTTGTACCAAGGTAACACTTGTATCAAGGTCACACTTGTATCAAGGTAACACTTGTACCAAGGTCACACTTGTACCAAGGTAACACTTGTATCAAGGTCACACTTGTATCAAGGTAACACTTGTACCAAGGTAACACTTGTACCAAGGTAACACTTGTACCAAGGTAACACTTGTACCAAGGTAACACTTGTACCAAGGTAACACTTGTACCAAGGTAACACTTGTACCAAGGTAACACTTGTACCAAGGTAACACTTGTACCAAGGTAACACTTGTACCAAGGTAACACTTGTACCAAGGTCACACTTGTATCAAGGTAACACTTGTAACAAGGTAACACTTGTACCAAGGTAACACTTGTATCAAGGTCACACTTGTACCAAGGTAACACTTGTACCAAGGTAACACTTGGCATGTTTTTATGTGGAGCTCGCATCCGCCCGAATGTAAGCTGGGTACGGATTGACTGCACAACGTGAAATGTGTGTACAAGGTCCGTGTCGTATGACCTACCGACAGGAAACCACCTCCAGAAGACGGCCATGAAAGGACGAGATGGTGGGGCGCTCTGGCGGTACTTTACAGTGCTGGTAGTCTACATACATACATACATGCATACATACATACATACATACATACATACATACATACATACATACATACATACATACATACATGCATGCATGCATAATCGAATCCGTCTCAGAGTTACAACCAACCTGAACGTCCTCCGCTGAGTCTGCTATGCATGCATGCATACATACATACATACATACATACATACATACATACATACATACATACATACATGCATGCCGACTGCAGTACGGTACGCACAAGAATCCTAATTGATTCGCGTGCCATGCCAAACAGTGTGCAAAATGAATTTTTGGATCTGGAAAGTTGGTTTAGCGAAATATTTGCGCTACCGAACCGTTGATTTTGGGAAATACCGAAAATTCCCGGTTTTAGAGTATGAATTTTAGACAGCTGTTAAACATGTGTATGCATGTGTTTGTGCATGCATGGACATTTGTGTGTGTGTGTGTGTGTGTGTGTGTGTGTGTGTGTGTGTGTGTGTGCGCGCGTGCGTGCGTGCGTGTGTGTGCACGTATGCATATGATTCGTGTGGCGTAGGATTTTGAAAACTACATCCTGGAGCTGATTCCCACTCTTCCTCAGGTAGGTGCTAAATACAGTGTGACACAGGGTGGGGGGGGGGAGGAGAGAGAGAGAGAGAGAGAGAGAGAGAGAGAGAGAGAGAGAGAGAGAGAGAGAGAGAGAGAGAGAGAGAGAGAGAGAGAGGAGAGAGAGAGAGAGAGACCCAGGTGTTAGCTGTGGATATTCTCCGAAACTTTATTACTCTGGGTGGGCAAGGGAGGCAGATAACAGACAACCGAATAAACGAGATCTGGGACTGTACGAGTTTTGCGTTGTTGTACGCCGAGGTGTTATTGTGAGGTGGTATTGTGAGCCTTCAGTAAAGGTAACACCGAGGACCGTAAAATCTGTTATTTGCACCTGAGGTCCAGTCTAGAGTATTGCCAACCCTCAGGAGACCCATGTGGAATTTGGAACCTGCTGGAGAGGCCGAAGGGCTACGAGAGAAAGGAAATCAGCACCGCCCCTCACTATGCGCAGCTCATTGAAATAAAAGGTTTCCGATATGTGCTTGTGTGTGTGTGTGTGTGTGTGTGTGTGCGTGCGTGCGTGTGTGTGTGTGTGTGTTTGTGTTTGTATATGTGCGTATTTCTATATCTCTCTCTCTCAGTTGAATGGCCTGGAAGACTCGTTCTATTCATTCTTCGTCTGCACCGCCGTGCGCAAGTTCTTCTTCTTCCTTGACCCGCTGAGGACAGGTGTGTGTGTGTGTGTGTGTGTGTGTGTGTGTTTCTATCTGTTTGTCTGTCTCTGTGTCTGTCTCTCTGTCCACCTCTGTCTGTCTCTCTGTCCGTCGTCGCTCACTCACTAACTCACTCTCTTCTTTCTTTGTTGTCATGTTTATAGAAATTTAAAACTACTTTGCAGTACTTACGTGTTTGTGTAATACAGTACAGTGTAGTTACTTTACACTGGTTGTGTTATACAGTACAGTGTAGTTACTTTACACTGGTTGTGGTATACAGTACAGTGTAGTTACTTTACACTGGTTGTGTTATACAGTACAGTGTAGTTACTTTACACTGGTTGTGGTATACAGTACAGTGTAGTTACTATACACTGGTTGTGGTATACAGTACAGTGTAGTTACTTTACACTGGTTGTGGTATACAGTACAGTGTAGTTACTTTACACTGGTTGTGTTATACAGCACAGTGTAGTTACTTTACACTGGTTGTGTTATACAGTACAGTGTAGTTACTTTACACTGGTTGTGTTATACAGTACAGTATAGTTACTTTACACTGGTTGTGTTATACAGTACAGTGTAGTTACTTTACACTGGTTGTGGTATACAGTACAGTGTGGTTACTTTACACTGGTTGTGTTATACAGTACAGTGTAGTTACTTTACACTGGTTGTGGTATACAGTACAGTATAGTTACTTTACACTGGTTGTGTTATACAGTACAGTGTAGTTACTTTACACTGGTTGTGGTATACAGTACAGTGTAGTTACTTTACACTGGTTGTGTTATACAGTACAGTGTAGTTACTTTACACTGGTTGTGTTATACAGTACAGTGTAGTTACTTTACACTGGTTGTGGTATACAGTACAGTGTAGTTACTTTACACTGGTTGTGTTATACAGTACAGTGTAGTTACTTTACACTGGTTGTGGTATACAGTACAGTGTAGTTACTTTACACTGGTTGTGGTATACAGTACAGTGTAGTTACTTTACACTGGTTGTGTTATACAGTACAGTGTAGTTACTTTACACTGGTTGTGTTATACAGTACAGTATAGTTACTTTACACTGGTTGTGTTATACAGTACAGTGTAGTTACTATACACTGGTTGTGGTATACAGTACAGTGTAGTTACTTTACAGTCCGGCAGCATTTGTGCTCCGGATATTCTGCTGGATTAGGTAGGGTGCTGGACTAACAAATCTGATTTACTGCTGCAATGTGCACGAAGAGGACGTTTTCGGCGACTGAAAATTGTGCTCGTTTATAGAGGGTGCTGGTTTATAAAGTGCTGGAGGGGAGAGGGACGGCTTTTGTTACTTTATTTATTTTATTTTATATATTTATTTACTAAGGCCACAGCTTTCAATCATGACATGCAGAGCAGCGGTGCAGCATCGCAGGCATGAATCGTGGACGTGGTGACGGGGTCTGATGTGCTCCACCGACCTAGGGTCTCGGCTTCACTGCACAGCAAACGCGTCTTGCCGGTCTTGCGGTTGTTCCTGTGGCACGTACTCGGTATACATATTGATAAACAAGCCAATTCGTGTATGCTCCAACCACACGCATGCACACGATGACTAACTTTAACTGAATTCTGTCTTTGTGTGTGTGTGTGTGTCTGCAGGCAAGGTGAAGGTGCAAGACATCATGTCCTGCAAGTTTCTTGACGAGCTACTTCAGGTGTGCTTCTGTGTGTGTGTGTGTGTTTTTCTCTCTCGACAAAATCCATTTATCTCCAGACACTGGGGTGAATAATGGAGTGTGGTGGTGGGGCCCATTGTGTGTGTGTATATGTGTGTGTGTGCATGCGCATGTGTGGGTGTGTGTGTGTGTGTGTGTGTATGTGTGTGTGTGTGTGTGTGTGTGTGTGTGTCAGGGCTGCCACTTGCTCCGATTTTTCGGAAATCGTCGGATTTTTGATCGCTTGTCCGACAAACCGACCGATTTTGTTCCCAAAGCGGGACAACTGATTATTTTATTTTGAGCGCTTTTTAGTCCAGTTGGCCATTAATTCCGCATTTCCAGGTCGCGTTTGGCCGGTCTGCATAATTGACATGGTTGTAGTGCGTGTGCTGGACAGTTAAAAATGTGTTCTGGGGCCCCAACAGCAAGCCATTTTCCTAAAAAATTCCATCGCGGGGCCCTGCCCCCTGAACCCCCGCCGGGGGATACCCCCGGACCCCCGGCAGATTTTTATCCCTCCAAGTGTGGCAGCCCTGGTGTGTGTGTGTGTGCGCGTGTGTGCGTGTTACGTGTTCGTACTTCAAAGTATATCTGTGCATGTGAGCACGTGTATGTAATTTGCGTGCTTATATGTGTGTACTATCTGTGTGTGCGTCTATTTGCGGTGCAGAGTCGTGTTCATTTGTCTCCCTCCCCCCCCCCCCCCCCCCCCCCACACCCACACGCACTCACTAACTACCCCGCTCACACATGGGCACGTCGGTGTGTTCCTTGTCGTTGGCGTGCATGTCTGTAGCTACGTGACGACAAGCTGACGGCCGACCAGCAACGTTGCAACTGGTTTTCAGCACCGCACGCTCTGAGGGTATACGGTAGGTTGTTCTGTGTAACACTTGTTGGCGTTGAGACGTATGTATCAATTTCGCACCGCCGTTAGGTTTTGCATGGCAAGTCCACTACAACCGTACACACTGTCATACCAACTCTGCATAAAAGATCATGAACTTTGTGACGTCATACTCTGTACTATAACGGGTTGTACCTGCCAAGTATGGGGTAACTTGCCCCGGCCCAAAGGTGACGGCCATCTTAGATACATACCTCCCATTGTAACCCTCAATCCACTTTGACTTTTTTTCTTCCTTTCCCTGTATACCGGGGATCCGTTTGGTCTCCGGGAATATTTTTCTGAGTATTCATGCGTTGCATTCATGCTGCTACCCACAGTCAACTGGGATTTTGTGGCCAGGCACAAGGGGTACATGGATGCGGCTAATGGAGGGGTTTGGATACTCCGTCTGCGTTTTTGTATCAGGCGTTCGATTTTCCCCGCCACGTTCCATGTTGTCACGGCTATTCGGAGGAAAACGTCACGTACACCACACTTTGGGCGTGGTGTGAAGAGCCAAACTCAGCATTAGGAAGTTTTGCTTGCGCCACATCGGGCGCTCTGCGCTGTGCTGTGCTGTGCTGTGCTGTGCTGTGCTGTGCTGTGCTGTGCGCTGTGCTGTGCTGTGCTGTACTGTGCTGTGCTGTGCTGTGAGGTCCCTAGCTGTGCAAACACTGGGACGTGAAGTGGCTCAGGGCTAGAAGCACACATTTCACAATTTTTGTATTATTTGTATTATTTATTTCAAGGATTCCCCAGAGGCCGTTTAGGCCTATCAAGGGGGTCTCCATTTCTGTACAGTTAGAATGAGAATATGAGAATACAAAGTGAGCAGGGAAGGAGAAATAACATTTTTGATTTCAGAGACCGGACTTCATTGAGCAGCACTGTCGTGGCGATAAATCGGCCGTGCAAAAAGAGGAAGCAATGGAAGTCCACATTATTTGTTGTCGTTGTTGTTCTCTGCTACTAGCAAGAGTCCATATCCCAAGAGTATGCAACTGTGATCTCTTTTCTATGGGCCAGATGCGCGGCGCGCTGCCTTCATTACATCATTCAGCTGCAGTCGGCGCACTGCGGAAAATCAAACACCGCACTTTCCCTCTGGTTTCAAATGAACTTTCGTACGCAACTGGAGTTCACGCGCCAGACTTCAGAGATCGCGTAGGTACTGGAACGAATCGAGCAAAAACGGATGGGCTCGTACGAGAAATTGTGAGTTTGAATGCATGCTTTCAGAGCGTGATGAAGGCAAGTTACGTAATGAGGGCAGCGCGCCGCGCACTGGGCCATAACCACAGTTGCATACTCTTGTTTATGCATTCTTGCTACTAGTATTCTCTATGTGGGCATGCGTAGGCACTTTCATGAAAAAACGAGAAAAGTGCGATCACGCCAGGATTCGAACCTGGAATCTCCTGATTCGTAGTCAGGCGCCTTGTCCATTGGGCCACGAGACCGTCTACAGTTTCACAAACCCATATGTGCAGGACAACATTATTATTGGACGTGTTCTATTTCACGTTCTGGGCCCGCAGGTTTGAAAATTCGTTGCTTGTTCGACCCTCGTTTTATCCAGTCCAGCTCTAGGCATTAGGAGTTCAGTGATTTATTGAGCACTCTCATGTTGGGTAGTGCCTTTGCTGTTTGCATTACGCAGAGCTCACTGACTTGTCAGTTTGAGCACTCTGGCAAGGTACGTTCGGGCCTGATTGGAAATGTTTATTTTCATTGCTATCAGGTTCGGCCTCATTTCCTCTGTGCTGCGCTGATGAGTTCACAAAGAACGAAACAGCATGCTGTCCGCAGATTGAGTGATTTATTTTTATATTTATTTTTATTTTTTTCTAAGTCCACTTATCTTCACTAGTTTGAGGGAAAGAGACAAACGGGAAAAGTCTGAAGAAAAAATTGACTGTCACCACCAGGACTGGAACCAGGGACCCTGGCTTGTAGCTAGCGATGCTCTAACCACTGAGCTATGGTGTAGTCAGGACACTTATGGTCCCGAATAAATGCAGAAAGTGGTGGCGGGGCCCTGCTGTTCAGCCGACCTTGGTGGTGTCGACGTCTGCACAGACAAAGCACGGCAAGAAAGATAGGGAATGACGTGATGGACATACTAGTTGTATACCTGAGTAGTAGTAGTCATGTGTGTGTTTGTCATGTGTGTGTTTGTCATGTGTGTGTTTGTCATGTTGTGTCTGTTCATGTGTGTGTTTGTCGTGTTGTGTGTTTGTCGTGTTGTGTGTTCATGTGTTTGAATTGTTCTTGTCTGGTCTGTTGTGTTTGTCTCGTGTTCACGCTCCCAGGTCAGTACTTGGCATTGGACCTCGACCACAACGGCATGCTCAGCAAGCAAGAGCTGATGGGGTGAGCTATCTGTGGGTGTGTGTGTGGGGGGGGAGGGGGGAAGGGGGGGTTGCTTGTGTACTAGTACTCCCATCATTGATATGTTTACTCTTGTCACTGCTGTATTTACTCCCGTCGCTGATACGAGAGGTACCTGGTTCAAGTCCTGCCTGGGAGCGGTTTTTCCAGCCGTGCTGCTAGCCACGGTCAACTGGGAACTTGTGGCCAGGCACAAGGGGTACATGGATGCGGCTAATGGGGTTTCTCGGCACTTGTGCCAGTGGTTGTGAGGCGTATCCACTCACCCCCACCGTTAGGCGCTGCATCTGCCGCTAGGGTTTACCGGGTGTTAGCGGCCGTCGTGAGTTCCCTTCGGGAACGGACACGATAATTTACTTCCTTACTGCTGTGTTTACTAATGTGTCTGGTGCATAGCTCGTGTATAGTCAGCGTAGTCCGTCCACCTCACCAGCAAATGACCGTCATAGGTACTAACATAGTCAAAATAGTCAAAATACCGACAGTGGCTGTATAGTTGCCCGTGGCACATGATCACCACGCTACAGATGTGCTCTGGTGCAAAGTCACCACACCGGCGATATACGGGCTAGACCTCTGTGTATGTGTGTGTGTGCGTGCGTGTGTGTGCGTGCGTGTGTGTGTGTTTGTGTGTGTGTGTGTGTGTGTGTGTGTGTGTGTGTGTGTGTGTGTGTGTCCCATATGGTGCAGTGGTATGTGCAGCGATTTCCAATCGATAGGCTGCGGGTTCGATTCCCGACGATTATGGTCACACACGTCTTTCTTCTCTTTCTCAGACTCTTCCTGACTTTTCTTTCATTCTCCTGGGTGGTTACCAACAGCCAGTGCATGCCGGAGTATGTGGTGTGATGTGTGTGTGGGAAAAAAAGAAAAAAAAGAAAAAAGAAAAAGACCAAAAATAGGGATTCACTGGCCAGAAAAAGTCACTTCAAATAGCTGTATGGTGTAGACCAGGCTGAATAGTGACGGTCAATTCTTCAGCCTTGCAAGCTGTTGAATGGTGCAATCCCAGCACAAGTTGCTATGGCTTCTGCCGTAGCATTGCTATCATCGCCTCCGGCGATGGGCGTCAAAGGTCAAGGTCAAGGTGTGTGTGTGTGTGTGTGTGTGTGTGTGTGTGTGTGTGTGTGTGTGTGCGTGCGTGCATGCATGTGTGTGTGTGTGTGTGTAATGTGTGATGTGTTTGCTGCTGCTGCCGTGTGCTGTGTTCCTGTTCAGGTACGGGACTGGGACGCTGAGTCCCGTGTTTGTAGACCGTGTGTTTGACGAGTGTCTGACCTACGAAGGAGAGATGGTGAGTGTGGCGGTGACGTGTCGTCGTTTGTGATCAGGTACTAGTAATGAAACTCTACCCAGTGCTGTTGACAGCTAGCTGTTTCGGCCATCTATTGTCGGCCTCATCAGTACAGCTACGGGCTTTTTAGAGTCTTTGTGTGTGTGTGTGGGGGGGGGGGGGGGGGAGGGGTGTTGTTACTTTATTTTACTTCACCAGAAAAACAGGCAGTAGAATGCCTTCTCACTAGACCAGGTCAAAAATAGAGCAGGGTTTAGACATCTCCCACAGGGGCGTCACCCGTGATGGGCACGGGGGGCACGTGCACCCCCATAAAAAATTCGACCTTGGTTTTTTTGCGAACTCCTGGTTTTGAAAAGTGTAGTGCTGGTAGAATCTACTAATAAACTGCATGCACTAAAACTAGTTGTACTGCGCTGCTGCCGCGATCGCGTGACGCGGCGTGAGTGCATGTAGCGAGTGCATGTACATGACCAGTACGACTCGTACACTAGCTACACTAGTTACACTGAAATGGCACCAAATGCCTGAAAATGCTTGCAATTGCCTTCAATTTTTGAAATTTTTTCCTGGGGGAGGATAATGAAGAATTCTTGTCCCCGATCGATCGTAGCATCTTCTTGGCTTGGTGCAGAATCAAAAAGTCTTTCATTGTAGGTACACTGAAATGGCACCAAATGCCCGGAAATGCTTGCAATTGGTTTCAATTTTTGAATTTTTTCCCCGGGGAAGGCCCCCGTACCCCATGGCCACCCCACCTCCAAAGTCCGTGCGACGGGCCTGCTATCAGCGAACTTTTTCGTGTTTTCCTGTGCAAAATTCCTGTGCACCCCCCTGTGAAGGGGTCCGGTGACGCCCCTGTCCCAGAACTTGTACTTGCTTCAGCTTGTCCAACACGTGGTCTGCACTACCACACTTCATGTCCACAATTCGGCAGTTCGTGCCACTTGGTAGCTGGTGAACTTGAAGCCAGCCTTACTTGTGCCATCATCTCTGTTGGAGAGTGGTGCTAGATGTTTCCTTCAGGTACTCGCCAACTTGCATTGAACTGATTTGCTTGAGCTCGTGACATGCATTTTGCAGAGCAGCCCGTCGGCACTTGGAATGGGATCTGCTGATTTACCGACCATTTTCAGTACTGTTCGGATAACTGGGACCGACATGCCTTGCTCCCACTTTCATCGCCAGTAACTGTTAAGCCTAGACTGCACTCCCTCACAGCGTATCGATATTTCTCACCATCCACCGTCTGCACATCTGTGTCACAGTCTTCCATTTCTTCATGCGCATCCATCAGGCCAGCCGCAAGAGAAGAAATCTTGCTCCGAACTCCCTACTCCTTGCTCTTCTTTCATTCTCCTCGGCCTTCTTTCATTCTCCTGGGCCTTCTTTCATTCTCCTGGGCCATGGGTGGCTATCAGCAGCCAGTACATTTTTCGGAGTAGGTGATGTGGCGTGTGTGTTAAAAAAGAAAGATTGAAACAAGAGTGAAAAAAAGAAATATAAAAAAGAAAATATGGATTCATCGGCCAGAAAAAAAGCCACTTCAACCATCTGTGTGGTATAGACCGGGCTGAATAGTGGCGGTCAATTCATCAGCCTTGCAAGCTGTTGAATGGTGCAATCCCAGAACAAGTTTGCTACTCGCTATCGTTGCTTTAGCAATGGGCATGTGGAAGTGGAAGTGAAATTGTGTGTGTGTGTGTATGTGTGTGTGTGTGTGTGTGTGTGTGTGTGTGTATGTGTGTGTGTGTGTGTGTGTGTGTGTGTGTGTGCGTGTGCGCACGTGTATCTGTTGACGATATAGGATTATAAAGGTTATCTGGATTTCGTACTGGCTATGGAGAACAGGAAGGAACCGCAAGCATTGCACTTTTTTGTGCGTCTACTGGATGTGCAGGTTAGACAGAGAGAGAGAGAGAGAGAGAGAGAGAGAGAGAGAGAGAGAGAGAGAGAGAGAGAGAGAGAGAGAGAGAGAGAGAGAGAGAGAGAGAGAGAGAGAGAGAGAGAGAGAGAGAGAGAGAGAGAGAGAGAGAGAGAGAGAGAGAGAGAGAGAGAGAGAGAGAGAGAGAGAGAGAGAGAGAGAGAGAGAGAGAGAGAGAGAGAGAGAGAGAGATGTGTGCACATACATGTACACATACACACACACACGCACGCACGCACGCACAAGACACAGCCATGAGGGCGCTATTGATTGCCGACTTTTGCTACCCCTGCTGCTGCTGCTGGTTATGGTGGTGGTGTTGGCAATGGTGCTGCTTCTCGTGTTGTTCTAGTAGTTGGCATTTTTCACTTCTTTCGTGTCGTATCCATTTGGTCATTTCCGTGCCGTGTGTAATGGGGGTGCTAGTTTGTGAATCTGCTCGTGTATGTGCATCAGTTTGTGTGTTCATTCATGTGTGTTGGCTTGTGTGTGTGTGTGTGTGTGTGTGTGTGTGTGTGTGTGTGTGTGTGTGTATGCGTGTGTGTGTGTGCGTGTGCGTGTGTGTGTGTGTGTACAAGGTACCAGTGCATCTGGTGTCTGCTTCTGTCAAAGCAGCGTGCTGTCTATACTGGTTACCCCAGCAAGTGTAGGGTGTGCATAGGTAACTGTCTTGGCCGTTTTATGCCGATGTACTCCGTGTGGTGTAGACCAGGTGTGCATTGGTGGTCGATTCACATGCCTTCGCCAGTTGTGTGGATTAGACAGTTATCTGGCGCAAGTCTTGATCTGTCACATTCAGATCTTGTTCGCTATCGTTGCTATAAGAGAAAATCTGTGGATGCACATCCAGTGCATTTGCAGATTTGCGTTCTTCTCTTGCGACGGGCGCATACATGGTACATGGTGTGTGTGTGTGTGTGTGTGTGTGTGTGTGTGTGTGTGTGTGTGTGTGTGTGTGTGTGTGTGTGTGTGTGTGTGTGTGTGTGCGCGCGCGTGCGTGTGCGTGTTTCTGTGTGTAATGGTGACTTTACAGAATCTCGGATACATTGACATGTTCTCAGTCTACTATTTCTTCAAGGTGAGTTGCCCTGCTGCTGTGGCTGCTCCTGTTGCCTCTGTGGCTGCTGCTGCTGTTGTTGTTGCTGCTGCTGCTGCCTCTGTGGCTGCTGCTGCTGTTGTTGTCGCTGCTTTCATTGCTGTTGTTACTGATCCTTCGGCTTATGGTAGTGTTCTCGCTGGCTTGGTTGCTGCTGCTGCTGCTGGTACTGCTACTGCTACTTTGCTGATGCTGCTGCTGCTGTTGCTGTTTCTCTTCTTGTATCTTGTGTTGCTGAATGACTACCTGTACAGGACATACAGCGTATGTTGGAAGCGCATGGCCAGCCAATGGTTCAGTTTGAAGACGTGAAGGTACGTCTCTCCTGCACACAGTCACGTGTATGGTCATAGTAACCAGAGTTACAGTACTGTCGTCAATGACTCATTTGTTCACGATGAAGCTGTGTGTAGCATCCATCAGGATTTCAGTTCTCCAAATTTGAATAAAATGGCAGCATTGAGGAAGAAGCACACGATTGACGGACCGACCCCTCTGGGAGTTACCCGATTGGCGGACCGACCCCTCTGGGAGTGACCCGATTGACCGACCGACTACTCCGGCAGTGACCTGATTGACGGACCGACCCCTCTGGGAGTCACCCGATTGACCGACGAGCCCCTCCGGGAGTTACCCGATTGACCGACCCACCCCTCCGGGAGTGACCCGGTTGACCAACCGACCCATCTGGGAGTGACCCGGTTGACCAACAGACCCCTCTGGGAGTGACCCGATTGACCGACCGGCCCCTCTGGGAGTGACCCGGTTGACTAACAACCCCTCTGGGAGTGACCCGATTGACCGACCTACCCCTCTGGGAGTGACCCGATTGACCGACCGACCCCTCTGGGAGTGACTCGATTGACCGACTGGCCCCTCTGGCGCGGGACTGACCCGATCATACATGTCAACCGTCCAGGGTTTCTCGGGACAGTCCAGGGAATAGGGCGTTTGTCCCGAGGTCCAGGGATGTCCTGCGAAAGTACTGGGATTGAGATGGAACTTGAAATCAATGTTTCTTCTCCTATTTATGACGCCTTTTCAGTGTTTCCTCGAACTAGCTCGTTGTAAGCACACACAGCACGTAGTAGCATGTAGTAGAGAAAACAAACCCATGTGGAACTGCAATGAATCGCCGGTATACCGGTGATCAACAGACAATTTACTGGTCCGGTTGCAGCTCCATGCAATCACATCCTTTGTGGTGACTTCAACACTGACTTGCCACTTCAGCGCCACCGTTTCAGCGCGATACATTTCAGCGCCAGTACTTCAGCGCATGATTTCACAGCGCCAGCTTCTTCAGCTCCATGACTATCAGCGCGGTAAAGTACAGCGCCAGCAAAAAGTAAGGCGCAATAATTTACAGCGCGAAGAAGTACAGGGCGAAGAAGTTCAGCACGAAGAAGTTCAGCGCGGTAGAGTCCAGCGTGACGCAGTAGAGTGCGAAGTCAATACTTGTACAGTCATAGTCGTTACAGACCATGTTCATACATACATTGTATAATAAAATGGCGCTGAGAAACATGGCGCTTAGATCTGTGGCAGTGAGATCTGTCGCTCTGAGAAAGGTCGCGCTGAAGTATTTGGCGCTGAACTATATGACGCTGATTTATGTGGTGCTGAGGTATTCGGCACTGATCTGCTGGCGCTGAAGTATACGAGGCTGAAATATGTGGTGCTGTAAAATTCAGCGCTTAGGTTCACGGCGCTGAAACACCGTGGGCTGGGGGATCTTGGAGTTGCACACTCTTGGTTATGTACTCTTTATAGTAGTGAGGAATGAGGACAATAGGTAGCTGGTCGTGAGAGAAGCAGAATGAGAGATAACATGTAGTGAGGAGGGAGGGAAGATGCTAGTGAGGCACTGGTCTGCACCATAACGTTTCATAGGGCATCGGTGGTTGTTTGCCAGTTCAGGTGCGGCAGATACTTGTTTCACTTTTCCTTGAAAGACTGGAGCTGTGTGGGTTGCAGCCCTGCAGGTAGGACGGCCGCTGGTAAGCTGTTCCACAAGGGTATAATGCAGTCTGGGTAAGAAACCCGGAGGCTGCTATGAGTGCTTTCCCCGGTTTAGGAGCCGCATCTGACGCCTGATCACGAGGTGGTGGCGTCCCACGGAAGCAGAAAGGTGGTTCTTGACACGCCCTGCACGCGAACCCGTGCAATTTTGTTTTCACCGCTGGCTGGTTAGCGCTGCTACCTATAAGCGAGAACGCTCTGATCATTTCAAAGGATCATTCGGGGAAGTGAACTGCCTGAAAAGAGAAAAACATGCCAGACCCACCAGGACTTGAACCCGGGACGTTGCTTGTCATGAGCAATGCTATTTTGCTTTTTTGTTTTTTTTCCAGGATGAGATCTTTGATATGGTCAAGCCGGTGGATTCGCTCAAAATTTCACTGGAAGATCTGCTAAGATGGTGAGAAGCTCAAAGGAGAGGCTGCAGTGGCTGATCCTGGGGTGCCACAAAGAGCCCCCCCCCCCCCCCGGAATTACGCGATTCAAGTAACATCATGGAATACAATCTGAGCTGTACTTCAAGTAGTCAAACAATATATTTCCAGGTACAGGTCGACCCCCGTTAATACGAGTCCGGTTAGTACATAAACCCCGTTAGTACATAAGAAATCTCAAGTCCTGGACGAAACGTGGTCACTTCCATTCAAATTTTGTCGGTTAGTACATAATTCGTTAGTACATAAACCCCGTTAGTACATAACATTTCTCCGTACCCGCATGCCACCTACCTCAATAATACATAATTATTTTGTTGGTCTTTCGGCCTTCCAGTGGAAGCACATTGTGTTCTAGTTTCTACTTGTGGACGCAATTAGCTCAGAAATCAGAGCGCACATCACAAGCCGAGAAAGCTCTGTTTTTTTTCCGAGTGACTGTACAGGCGCGGCTGGGCATGTATCATGTAAACTGTAGAATCTTCGCTGACTGTGACCGTTATAACATAATTATTGTTATGTTATATTGAGGGAATCAAGAATATCTCGCTCCCTGGTCATGGTAGCAAGAAACACTCAGAAAAGTTGAAAAAAGGGAAAAATTCTGGTACACAAGCAAGTTATGTACACTTTCGTTTAGTACATAAACCCCGTTAATACATACAAGTAACATTTGTCAAGTCCCAGAGATTATGTATTAACGAGGGACGGCCTGTATATCCAGGTACTGCTAGGCGATTCCAGGTGTTTTCCAGGTAATTCCAGGCATTTCCCAGTTGTTACCAGGTATTCCCAGGTGTTTCCCAGGTGTTCACGAGTGTTTCCCAAGTATTTCCCT